AGCCACTTCATTCCCCTCAGCCACTTCCTATTGTTCCACTACCCCCTCCCTCCTAGATTGTAAGCTTGAAAGAGTAGGGCCCTCTTACCCCTCGTACGCTGTCTGTTTTTGTTGTACTGTGCATGTATTGTCCCCCCTATTGTAAAGCGCTGAGCAAACCCTTTGGCGCTATATAAACTCGATGTAATAATAATAAATAATAATAATAAACGCGTGTTTATGAGCATTTTTGAGCAGCAAGTGTTTTTTTCTGGCCAAAAGTGCTTTGCAAAAATGTTATTCTGAAGGGTCTTTTTTTCTGCCTCTAAATGCTCCTGTGAAAATATGCCTGTAAATTCCCTAATGTACAAGGACACACAGAGCTGCTTCTACAGGAGTCTGTAAAAGTTTGTGCAGACTCAAATACATAGAAATGTAGCATTTAATTCTGTAAGCAGTGACACCTACAAGCCACTCAGCTCCTTCGATAGCTCAGCTGGTAGAGCGGAGGACTGTAGAGGAATCATCATGCAGGAATCCTTAGGTCGCTGGTTCGATTCCGGCTCGAAGGACACTTTTATCATCATTACTAGAAGCTGGTAAGATTCAATACATGCTCACTTTTATTTTATTTCTTTGTTTTTTTTTTAACCTGAAGTAAACAAGTGAAAGATCTACCATTTCAAATTATTAAATCTATTATTGGATATCTTGGTGATCATAATTGCCTTTAATAAGCAGTCAACCTGGATTTATTACCTCACAAAATGTTGCAGCATAAATTTTGTGCCTAAATTGACAGAGTAAAAATACTTATTTGCTAAATTTTATAATAGAAATGAAAAAGGTGTTTTTTTTTTTTTCAAAATGTTTGCTACAATTTTACTTATATTGCAAAAAATTGAAAACCCCAGTGGCAATGAAAGAAAGCTCTAGTTGTGTGAAAAAAAAATGACAAAAAGTTTGTTGGGGTACGGTGTAGCATGACTGAGTAATTGTCATTCAAAGTGTGAAAGCGCTGAAAGCTGAAAAATGGTCTGGGCAGGAAGGGGGTAAAGGTGGGATCGATAGCTCAGCTGGTAGAGCGGAGGACTGTAGAGGAAAGTCATGCAAATATAAAAACATAACCTGTACTGAGTTACTAAATAACAAATATTTGTACATTTTTAATTACACCTTTTTGTGACGTTGTGAAAATCGAACGTACGCAAAACTGTAAATGACCAAACTCTAAATATCTGGACCTTTTCATTTTTCCCTTACAGCTTTCAGAGTTTGTTGACCCCCCCCCCCCCCAAACCATAATTTTCTGAAGACATGACCAGTAGAATAAAAATAGGGTGCAACTAGTTTTTAAGGCTCTGCAATATTTGAGCAAATGTTGATCAAATTAATATTTTCACTAATAATACACTAAAATTGTTATTAGCAGATACCAACAGTACATTTTACTAAATTCCTGCTAAATTCCAAATAAGTATAAAAGCTTACAGTAAATTTTACAAAATTCCTGCTAAATTCCAAAAAAGTATAAAAGCTTAACCTGTATTGAGTTAATGAATAGCAAATATTTGTAAATGTTAAATTATGCCTTTTTGTGAAGTTGTGAAACCCCAATGTATGGAAAACTGTAAATTACCACATTTCTCTAGAAAAAAATCTGGAGCTTTTTATTTTTCCCTACAGCTTTCAGAGTTTGTAAAAGACCCCGCCAAACCATAAATTTTTTTGAAAGCACATGACCAGTAGAATAAAAATAAGGTGCTGCTGAGTTTTAAGGGCCTGCAATATTTGCACGAATGTTTATCAAAACAATATATTCACAAAATATACATTAAAAGCATTATTGGCAGATACAAACAGAGGCAAAAATTCCTGCTAAATTCCAAAAAAATATAAAAACTTAACCTGTATTGAGTTACTAAATAACAAATATTTGTAAATTTTAAATTGAGCGTTTTTGTGAAATTGTGAAAATTGAATGTGCACAAAACTGTAAAAGACCAAATTTCTCTAAAAATCTGGAGGTTTTCATTTTCCCTTTCAGCTTTCAGAAAATGAACCTCAAAACCAAACATTTTCTTAAAGCACATGACCAGTAGAAAAAAAAGGTGTTACTGATTTTTAAGACCCCGAAATATTTGCGCATATGTTTATCAAAACAATATATTCACTAAAAATACTATAAAACCATTATTGGCAGAAACAAACAGTAAATTTTACAAAATTCCCAGTAAATTCCAACTAAATATAAAAACATTACCTGTACTGAGTTAAAAATAACAAACATTTGTGAATTTTCAATTGTGCCTTTTTGCGGAATGGTGTAATGCGAATGTATGCAAAACTGTAAATAATCAAATTTCTCAGGAGTAATCAGGAGGTTTTTATCTTTCACTTTTGTAAAAGAGCCCCCAACCCATACATTTTCTGAAAGCATGCAACCAGTAGGATCAAACAAAGGTGCTACTGATTTTTAATGCCCTGCAATATTTGTGCAAATGTTTATCAAATCAATATTTTCACTAAAAATACACTAAAATTATTATCAGCAGATACAAACAATAAATTTTTTCAAACTTTTTGCTAAATTCCAAATAGGTATAAAAGCTTAACCTGTATTGTGTTAATAAATAACAAACATTTGTAAATTTTAAATTGCTCCTTTTTGCAAAATTGGTGAAAATCAAACGTCTGCAAAACTGTGAATAATCAAATTTCTCTATAATCTGGAGGTTTTTCATTTTTCACTTTTGTTAACCGTTTCAATACCGTGCAATTTTACACCTTCCTGCCCAGGCCATTTTTCAGGTTTCAGCGCTCTCACACTTTGAATGACAATTGCACGGTCATACAACACTGTACCCAAACTAAAATTTTATCATTTTCTTCACACAACTAGAGCTTTCTTTTGGTGGTATTTAATCACCGCTGGGGTTTTTATTTTTTGCTAAATTAACAAAAAAATACCAAAAATTTTGAAAAAAAAAAAACACATTTTTCTTTGTTTCTGTTATAAAAGTTTACAAATAAATAATTGTTCTTCATAAATTTAGGCCGAGATGTATTCTGCTACATGTCTTTGGTGAAAATAACCCAAATTAGGATGTATTTTTTAGTTTGTAGGAAAGTTATAGAGTTCACAAACTATGGTATAGATCTGATTATTGATCAATCCTGAAGTACTGACAGTCAATCTAATTTCTTGAGGTCCAAGAATGTCAGAATAGTACAGATATCCCCCAAAGTCAGGACAGTACAGATATCCCCAAATTATTATTATTATTAAATGTATTTATAAAGCCCATTTTTGCATTACAAAGGGAGTAGAACAGTCCGACAATACAATCAAAACATAAGAGGAATAGAAGGACCCATTTTTGCAGAGTAGACAGTCCGACATACTTCATAAGAGGCATGGCGAGTTTTTTGAAGTTGTATTTTTTTTGTCATAATTTTTCGGAAAATGAAAAAATGAAAAAAAATTATTTTCACTATTTTTTTTTTTACATACTGTCACCAGTGCAGTACAGCGTCATCATATAACTGGCATGGCATGAACAGGGACACTGACTGGTGACAGTATGAAAAAAATATATATATATATATTTTTTTTTAATTTGTTTTAATTTTTTTATTATATTTAATTTTTTATTACATTTTTTTTTTTTTTTTTTAAGATTTTTTTTTCATATTTTACTATGACCAAAGTAGTACAATGTTACCATAGTAACATTGTACTACTTTGGGGAAGTGATCAGTATTTTTTTTTTTTTTTTTTTTTTACACAATTTGCTTATAGCAAAGAATTACTTTGCTATAAGCAAGCATTTACCTGAATGAAATCGATTCATTCAGCTTTTTTTTTTTTTTTTTTTTTTTGTGCTTAGCTGTGATTTGGTCACAGCTAATCACATGACATGTGCATGTGATTAGCTGTGACCATTCACAGCTAGGCACTAGTATACAATGGATGGCATCATGAATGAAGCCATCCATTGTATACAACTGTCATGTGACCTGCTGTGATTGGTCACATCAGGTCACATGGTACCAGCAACGGGAGCCGGTACTCGGATCTGTCATCGGCCGTGTCCGAGGTGCACGGCTGGTGACAGATCGCACTGCTGCGCCGCTCTGCATTAGCGCAAACGGCGCATGTGCGGGAGCACGCCAAATGGCGTGCACCCGGAATGAAGAGACACTTCTGAAGCCGCCAAACGGCCATTGGCCGGGCGGCTAATGGTTAAAGACCCCCCAAACCATACATTTTCTGAAAGCACATGACCAGTAGGATCAAAAGAAGGTGCTACTGATTTTTAAGGCCCCCTGATATTTGCGCAAATTGCAATTTTCACTTTAAAAAAAACACCACTGAAATCTTTATTTGCACATATAAACACAAAATAACTTACAAAACTCCTGCTTAATTCCTATTAAGGCCTCATTCACATGGGCTGTACTAAAGTGTATAGTCCATGGAGAGCCATGTGTATCCACATAGGGATGCACAGGTGTTCAATCGATTCTTGTGCAGGCAGTCCCATTCACAGTAATTGGGATGCAGAGGCTGCAAGGACGGATCCGGCATGTGTGCGGGTGTAGGTGCATGGCCCCAAATGCAGGCAGTGTGAATTCAGGGACACGCACCCACATGGATGTCAAGTTGGGAGCAGCACCCTCCTGCCTGCATGCCTAAGCTAAGGGCAGATGGATTCCAGGAAGTCAATGTTACATAAATCATGTACCCTGCATTCACTATATCTGGTCTCCCAGAACCCTGCATTCAGTATATCTGGTGTCCCTGGACCCTGCATTCACTATATCCACTCTCCCCGGACCCTGCATTCACTATATCCGGTCTCCCCCCACCCTGCATTCACTTTATCTGGTCTCCCCGGACCCCGCATTCACTATATCTGGTCTCCCCGGACCCTGCATTCACTATATATGGTCTCCCTTGACCCTGCATTCACTATATCCGGTCTCCCCCCACCCTGCATTCACTTTATCCGGTCTCCCCGGACCCTGCATTCACTATATCTGGTCTCCCCGGACCCTGCATTCACTATATCCGGTCTCCCCCCACCCTGCATTCAGTATATCCGGTCTCCCCTGACCCTGCATTCAGTATATCCACTCTCCGTGGACCCTGCATTCACTATATGCGCTCTCCCCGGACCCTGCATTCACTATATCTGGTCTCCCCGTACCCTGCATTCACTATATCCGCTCTCCCCGGACCCTGCATTCACTATATCTGGTCTCCCCGGACCTTGCATTCACTATATCTGCTCTCCCCGGACTCTGCATTCACTATATCTGGTCTCCCCGGACCCTGCATTCACTATATCTGGTCTCCCCGTACCCTGCATTCACTATATCGGGTCTCCCCAGACCTTGCATTCACTATATCCAGTCTCCCCAGACCCTGCATTCATTATATCTAGTCTCCCACAGTACACACCACATGGAAATGCAAATATTTTAGTAAATATAAACTGTTAAATACCTTTTTTCATCAGCAGTATATAGCAGTATAGTCTTTTGACTTCTATCAGTGTCCAGCTGAGCACTGGTCAAAGCTTGTAGCAGGAGTTCTCATTCTCCCCTGATTGTCCTAGATTGCATAAACCCTGACCTCTGTCTGGACAGTGCTGATTGGCCCTGTGCTGATCACATGCACCCTCCCAAAGAAAAAAAAAACTCACTAGCCCTACACACTAAACTAAACATGTGCAGAGTGCCTCCTAGGGCTCTGTACTATCAGAAGATGGATTGAGGACAGTAAAAGAAGGGGAGGATCAGAGAAGACAGGATCAAACAGTCTTTTTTTTACACATTGCAGAAGATTAACCCCTTAGGTTCCACAGTGAGTATAACAAGCTTGCTTTACTGCATATACAGACTGATTGTACTGTTGTGGGTTTAGGAACACGAATAACAATCAAACTGGCCAAATGACAGATATTTGAATGATTGTTCATCTAGTGTATGGCACTATTAGGGTTCTTCCATATTAGCCACTCGGCCAAACCAACCAAACAGAGTTGGTGGATGTTTTATTTCAAAATGTTTTCTTCTTCATGTAAAAGAAGGTCCCACCGAGATTTGAACTCGGATCGCTGGATTCAGAGTCCAGAGTGCTAACCATTACACCATGGAACCTTTCATGTCTCATGACTCAGCAGGAGACTCCTATAATGATGGGAGGGCGTGGCGGGAAATCACACAAATCTACATTGGATTATACGTCTCTGAGCACTCACAATTCTTACAGTACATATCCACAACAGTGTGTGTTTACTGCCAGCTATGTGTCTGTATATAGGGGATCTGACCACCAAACCCACCCCACTGATGGACACTTCTCTTACACAAACTGGAAAACAAAACATCTCCTGACACAATCACACAATAAAACTGTCTTACAATGTATGTCACCACAACATTTCCTATTCCTGATATGTGCCTGCTGTATCATGTACATATATGATACCCATCTGCTGACAGTAAAGAGCCCTAGGAGTCACTCTGCACATGCTCAGTTTAATGTGTATGGTTAGAGAGTTTTTTTTTTTTCTTTGGGAGAGTACATGTGATCAGCACAGGACCAATCAGTGCTGTGCAGACAGAAGGTGAAGGGTTATGCAGCCTCATAGGACAGTCAGAGGAGAATGAAAACTCCTCCTAAAAGATTAACCAATGCTCTGCTGGACCCTGATAGAAGTCACCAGATGTTTATATGTAGGGATATTGTAAATATATATACAGTTGTGTTCAAAATAATAGCAGTGTGTTGAAAAAAGTGAGTAAAGCTCCAAATCCTTCTAATAGCTTTTCTTTCCATCCACACAAATGCATTGGGAACACAACACATTCTATTCCAAATCAAAACATGAAGAAAAATACATCAAATTTGTGTTGTTCCTCTAAAAAAATTGAAGAAAAGTGAATATTAGACGGTTAAAAAAAAATCGCAGTGTTTGTATTCTTCTTTACAAACTCAAACATTCACTATATAAACTGAGAAATGTTTGAAGATTTTGCTTTCCTTTGAATGACTTCATGAATATTTGGTTGTAGTCGCACTGTTTCTGAGAACTGCTGTACATCTGTGTTGCATGGAGTCACCCAACTTCTGGCCCCTGTGATCAGGTATTCCAGCCCAGGATGATTGGACGACATTCCACAGTTCTTCTCTATTTCTTGGTTTTGCCTCAGAAACGGCATTTTTGATGTCACCCCACAAGTTTTCTATTGGATTAAGATCCGGGGATTGGTCTGGCCACTCCATAACGTCATCTTGTTGGTCTGGAACCAAGATGTTGCACGTTTACTGGTGTGTTTGGGGTCGTTGTCTTGTTGGAACACCCATTTCAAGGGCATTTCCTCTTCAGCATAAGGCAGCATGACCTCTTCAAGTATTCTGATGTATTCAAACTGATCCATGATCCCTGGTATGCGATAAATAGGCCCAACACCGTAGTATGAGAAAACATCCCCATATCATGATGCTTGCACCACCATGCTTCACGGTCTTCACAGTGTACTGTGGCTTGAATTCAGTGTTTGGGGGTCGTCTGACAAACTGTCTCCGGCCACTAGACCCAAAAAGAACAATCTTCCTTTCATCAGTCCACAAAATGTTGCGCCATTTCTCTTTAGGCCGGTCAATGTGCTCTTTGGCAAATTGTAACCTCTTCAGCACGTGTCTTTTTTCCAACAGTGGGACTTTGCGGGGACTTCTTGCAGATAGCTTGGCTTCACATAGGCGTCTTCTAATTGTAACAGTCCTCACAGGGAACGTCACACCTTCTTTCATCTTCCTGCAGCTGATTGTTGGCTGAGTCCGCCCCATTTTGGCTATTCTTCTATCCATTCCAATGGAAGTTTTTCACTTTCTTCCACGTCTTTCAGGTTTTGGTTGCCATTTTAAAGCATTTGCGATCATTTTAGCTGAGCAGCCGATCATTTTCTGCACTTCTTTATATGTTTTCCCCTCTCCAATCAACTTTTTAATCAAGGTACGCTGTTCTTCTGAACAATGTCTGGAACGACCCATTTTCCTCAGAATTTCAGAGAGAAATGCACTGTAACCAGCATGTACAACATTTGCTGCCTTCCTTCCTTAAATAGGGCAATAATTGCCGCCTGTTTTTCAAAGAATGAATGACGTCACTAATAGAACTCCACACTGCTATTATTTTGAACATGCTCCTTTCAATGAGTGATTCAATGACACAGAATCAGCAGCATGCATGTCATGACTGTTGGGTCTGTTGGATTTCTATTACTCTACTACACCTGCTAGTAAATTATTTGCCATGTAGAAATATCATTTCCACCAAAAACAGTGATTGATCCGGTTAGTGATGTCTGACTGCTATTATTTTGAACACAACTGTGTATATATATATATATATATATATATATATACACACACACACTGTATGTGGTGTATTCTCACCAGGCCAGCAGGGGACTGAGCTAGATGTATTTCACACAACAAAAGCATAGCCAAGGACTCTTTGCTATGTTAATTTTATGCAGGTCACCTTGGTATTTGGGGAATAGCCTGTTTATCTAATTAGAGATTTTAAAGGGTACATTGTTTACATGTTTAAGGATGACAAAGAATGTGATTTGACCATACAAGAAGTATTTATTTTTCAAATTGCAAATTTTTATTATGGGACCAAGCCCAGTTTTTCAAAACAGAATTCCAACAACAGTTTAGGTGTAAACTTTGCATAGAGGGAAGAAAGTGCCAGGATCAGTATAAAAGAGTACAGTAACAGAAAACAATTTATTTTTTTGTAATTCTTTATGTAAGATTTTCAACAAAGCAGGGGGAACCAAACAGAAGGTTCACTGTAATACAAAGGAAACAAGAGAATGCAACATACAAACGTCACAGTACAGATATCAGCCAAGGCCTTGTACCACCCCCACACCTCAGTGTGTAGGGCAGGGAGGGGGGGGTGGAACAGGCAGGTCCCAATAGAAAGGAGCTGTGCCCAAGGCAAATGCCTACCAGCCAGATAGCGTTCTCCACAAGTAGGCATAGTCATTCTATATGGCAATGCAAACAACAAACATATGGGAACAACATACTATAGTGTATAAATGGAACTAGGAACTGTGAGACAATGGAGTCTCTTCTGAACCTGCCACCACGAGTAGAGGTCCATGAGGCGGGAAGTACCCATTGAAAAAAAAAAAATGCCTTGTATGCTGGATAAGTGGCATATTTGTCAGGGTAAATTATATAGTGACCATACGAGACTCTGACTCACAGAACCAGGATAGTAGAGCATAGCCCAACCAGAAGTTCTGAAGTATCAATAGCCATCAGAGGTGAGGTCAGTCCTCTGTGGTAGATGAGAGTTGTCTGGGTGGCCCATGTCTCAAGGCTCGAGAGTGGCTATGACGGATCCTCTGAGCTCACAGAGGCAGTGGTACATTCACTGAGGCCTGGAGATCTGTCCAGTTTGGGATTTCCACAGCAGATTGTTCCAGAAAGGTGAAAAATTCTGGTAAGTGGTCAGGTGAGTGGAGAGGAAAGGATGCTCCTTGCTTTGCAACAATTATGTGGCAAGGGTGACCCCATCGGTAAGTGGCTCCGGACTCCCGAATGATCTCAAGGAGCGGGCGCATTGCATAATTGACGGGTGAACATCTGGGGATTCTAATGAACATCAGTCTATCGGGCCTTTCACCCAGGCCTGCCTGAGAATCTCCTCCTTGAGAGCAAAGAAATGCACCCGGCACAGCACATCCCTGGGTAGGGTGGGTGAGATGTTAGATCCGGGTGGCCGCGGGCCACCCATCCGATGGACCTGGTCAAGCTCCAAGGCCTTGGTAGGGGTCTATCAAGCAGCTGGTTTAATATGGTGGCCACCGTTGGACGCAGGTCTGAGTATGCTGTGGCCTACTGCTCCGGTTCTCCCCATCGTCAACCAGCAAGCATACCTCTGTGAGCTGATAGCAGTAGTAAGAGTGTGTCTTCTCCAGGGTAGGATTCAGTGTCTGTGGAGGTGGTTTCCAGGGCTGAAACCCTCTCCTCCACTTTGTCAATCTGCTGGTGAAGGTTGTGGATCTCCCTAGAGAGGGTGGTGACGATGGAGGATGCCAGGTCCTGCAAGTTCTGTTTAGATGGCAGGTCGGCCGACCGGCCCCGGAGGTAACCGATAGCCAGAGAGTCAGGTCCGGGGTCTCCCGGTGCATCCGGGTCTGGAGGGTTTGGAAGGTGAGGAGGAGAGCCAACAGGGTCACTCCCAGAGAGGGGGCAGGTGAAGGGTCATGGGTTTCCTGATGGTCGAGGTTGCGGCCTGGCCGGACTTTGTCGGCACCATCTTAGGTGAGGAGGCGGTGGGTGAGGCTGAAGATCTCACCG